AACGACGCGAGAGTAACGTGAAGATGAATACGCACAAATTTTTTAATTGCTATCGTTGCTAAAAGAACGTCGACTTCTTTACGTTTGCGACAACGATAAGGGGGGAAAAAAGAAAAAGGAAGAAGAGAGACGACATAAAAAAAAAGATAAATAAATAAATAAATAAATATATATATAAATTTAAAAAGAATATATCTAGATGGTAAAGTTTCGATATGAAAAAAAAAAAAATGAAATCAGTGTAATTTAACGAAAAAAATGTTAAATGTTAAATGTTAAATCGATCAATAATCTCAAAGTCCATAATCTCTAATAGTTCTGTAACATGTGTATGCTGATATTTATATTTATAAGTACGTGTTGTATTTGATTGGTACACTGAGAGAGAGAGAGAGAGTGAGAGAGAGAAAGAGAAAGAGAGTAAAGGGTTAAAAGAGTTAAGTAGCTTTTGCGATACATCGTCCATATAGTGTATATATAGTGCATAGTATGTCTGTCTGTGTATGTGTGTGTATGTATATATGTATTCAATTATTGCAATATGCAACACATACAATGCATATATGTATATCATACGATATGTATATTATATACATAGATATATATAAATACATATTGTGAGAAGGTTCTCCTCACAAGCAAGAAATTTCTAAACGAGACTTTTAGAATGGCACCTTTGTCATGGTGCACGATTTCCATTATACGGCCTGTCGAGTATCCGTGACTACTCGGATTGCTTAGAACGGTAATTTGCGATGTCCTCTTTGCTATCGATCGTCTAATGCGTTTGCGGTTGTCGATGAATAGAGAAAGATGTTCTGTGATTAGAACGGAAAACAATATAAATAAAGATTTTCTTTTTCATTATATTTTTGTCTTTTTTTCTTTTTAATTCTTTTCGTCGTACGACAATGATTTTCACTAAAACAGATATCCTTTCGTGGAAAGAATGAAGAATTTGTTATTTAAAAAAAAAAAAAAAAGAAGAAGAAAAAGAAAGATTTTTCTTCTTTCAAAGCATTTTTTTCGAATTTATCGAATTAGAAATATTTTTCTAAGCGGAGAAGAAAATAATTTACTACTTTTTTTTAAAAGAGAATATATATATATATACATTTTTTTTTTTAAATATTCGTTCCTTCTTGAATATGTCAAATTTTTCCCATACACACGTATAGATCGTTCCTTATTTTTTTATTCTTTTCTCTTGATTTAAAATTTTCTCTTGATATAAAATTTATTTTTCCTTCTTTCTTTTTTGTGACAAAATGTTCATTCTTTATTCCTTTCTTTTTTTTTTCTTTTTTTTTTTGTTTCTTTTCCTTTTTCTTCTTCGTTTAATATGAAATTACGTCGACACGCTTGTACGAGTACAACCGAGTATCGTAATAAATATATACCTACATATACGTCGAAGTTCGAATTACGGTGACATCTCGAACGCGACGAGAAGTAGTAACTTTTCTTCGTCAGTGTTTCACGAGACGGAGAATTCTAGATCGCCATGTTCGACCGTCCGTGAAAATTTCACTTGAAATTACGGGCACAGCCTCCACCTCCTTTCCTCTTCTCTCCTCCTTTTCTCCTCCTCTTTTTCTCCTCCTCCTTCTCCGTGTCTTTATTATACGATGTGTTCGAATAATCGACGTTAAGAATAAAAAATATGTATATATATATATATATATATCCGCGAAACAGCTAATCCGTTAGGGTACGAGTGAGTGAACACGAGAGAAATCGATATATCCGTACGGAAGGGGAAGGAAAGAGGATCGGTTCCATCTTTTTCCTTACTTGAGTTTAGAATTTAATCTCTAATGCACTTTCAGAACCGGTCTTCTGTTGTACATTAGAACTCTCTTGCGTCCTATTTCGATAAATTCTCTTTTGATTTGTCTATTTGTTTATCTTTTTTTCTTTTCTTTTTATTATTTAATCTTTCTCTTTTCTTTCGATTTGTTTCCTTTTTAGAACGATGCGAAATAAAAATTTCACTTGTACTTAAAGTTAGACGACGTTGTTGTCGTTGTCGTTGTCGTTGTTGTTGTTGTTGTTATATACCGTATTAATATACAATTAAGAATATACTTGTACAATCGTGAGAAATAACAAGTATTAGATTCGAAGAACGAAACTTTCTTCTTAAAAGAATAACTATTAAATCACGACTTTCTACCTCGATTTGATCGACTTCAACAATATATTGGATTAAGCGAATTTCCTAATAAATAATAATGATAGTAATAATAATAATAAATAAATAAATAAATAAAAGAGAGCTACGTGAAATATCTCGTAATTATAACAAAATGTAGGAAAGATGAAAATGCATTTGTATGGAAATTGTATCACTTATCTATGTAAGACTTAAAGAGAGAGAGAGAGAGAGAGAAAAAGAGAGAAAGATAATTAATTATTAACGAGCGTTCCACAGCTCGTCCAGATTAATTAATTAGTAATGCCTGCTTCAAAATGGCGAGCTCTAATTAAAACGTGACTA